TACCAGGTGCCGCCCCAAGCATGTGCTTGGTTGCCTGGTGCCTGGAGCCGGCTCTGAGTGCAGCCTAGCTCTCCAGGGAGGAGAGCCAATTCTGGCAGAACATACCAGGGAGGTGTGGAAGGGGAAAAGCCATCCCCATGGAAGTTCTTCCATCAGAGTGTTGTAGGGTCTGAACTCTGCTTAATTTTATAGATAAGGCGGAGTGGGGCAGTTCTGTCCATTGGCTAGATCCTGCTAGTATATGGGCACTCAAACGCTGATTGATCCCAATGGGAATTCTACTCACAGAACATTTCTTGGATCAGCTGCAAAGCCTATATCCTACAGGAATCTATGAGCGAGAAAAAGGGAGCCTTTTGGACAGTCTTGCAGGTATTCAGACAAATAATTCCAATTGTCTTAGTTTCCTCAATAGATTTCCCCAGGAAAAGTGGGAAATCTGTATGAAAAACAGAGAACAACACTCGGAAGACACAAACTGTAGCATGGCACAAGGAGGAAGACCTAAAATAAACACAGTTGCTGGAGACACAGGCCATAGGTGGACACCAGTTGTGCTGTCTTGCTATGAAAGCAGCTGATTAAACCAAACATCACAGGACTCCAACAGAAAAACTAATTATTTATTAAGATATTTTTATCATTTTGTTTTGAGTCGAGAGTGGAAGTGGTTTAATACGGAAGCTACTGAGAACTGTACGTTTAACCCTCAGAGCACTCAGTATGTGCTAACCTTACTGAAAACTGAAGGTAAAAACACCTCATCTCCCTCTGCCCCCAATGAGACCCCAACCCTCCAAATGCTGATCTCTTCCAATCCAATCTTTGACTCAACCCTTTCCTCAGCTTCCCACAACCCAACCCCTACTCCTGGGATAAGGTCAGGATTTGATCTACCTAAGAGTCTCTGCTACCAGAAACCTTCCTAATCCTCAAATTTGAAAGCCCTCATGACTCCCCTGCAAACCCTTACAATACCCAGTTTCCGCCAACCATTAAGAAATTGGTCAGTGTTCTATGCTTTGTTGTGGAGTGCTGTAACTGGCTTGTAATGTTTGTCTGAAACATCCTACCTTGTTAGCAAATGTTGATCCTGCTATTGAAGAGTTAAATGGGTTCTGCTAACTTGCAGAGAGAGGGGATTCATTGCCCCACCTGGTCAAAAGGAGGTGGAGAAGAGGTTCTTTAAGGAAGGAAGATCTAGGATGTGGGCTGAACAGTTCTGAGAGAGGAACCCTAGTAGCAGCCAAACCTGGGGAGAAGGTTTGAGCTGAACCTTATTTTATTTACTCTGTTTTTAGAAAAAGGGTGAGTGTGTTGTCAGGTTGAGAATGGTTAGGAATTGCACACGTGTTCACATGCATATTTTGTGCTCAGTTCTCAAAGGGAAATGGGTATAGAATGAATGTTCTCATAATTTTAATTCCAAGCATTTTAGTTGAGTACCTTCTTGAAGTTACGAGAGGTCCTTAAAATAATATTTAAAATAAAATCCTCACTAACCTCAGGCCTTTAAAATATTGTTAAGAAAACTCTAGTCTGTATCATACTATCAGTTGGCAATCCTGCGACTTTAATTTTTGTTTCTCAAGATTATACTAAGAAAAGGTCTAGATATTGTAGTTTGATTAAAATACCTACATGTCTGTAAAATGATAGGCAGAGGTTTAAAAAGAGCTTGTCTTGCTAGGATCTTTAAGATGCGACTTAACATACTTTTAAATGGTTGGTATAAGACTAGATTAAAAGTAGTGTAGATCAAGAGAAATTCCATTGAAATCAATAGGGTAAATGAAAGCGGAATCCATTAGGCCCAGCATACCTCAACAGCTGAGACTGTTTTCAGGTTTAGTCCCAACCAAGTCTGCTGTCTTTGCCACCTTTTCCTGATAGAAGAGATTTAATACAGTCTCTTTGCATTTCCCATCTGGAAATGGAATGCATTTTTTTATCTGATATAACTATATTGGATAGTTTGCAAACAAAGCAATAGTAAATCCTTATAGCAAATGCAATACTTTTTTTTTTAATAAATTCTTTGTTTTAAACAGAAAAAATCAGGTATCATCAAAGAGCAAAAAGCCATACTGATGCAACATTAAGCCTCAAATTTTGAACAAAAAAGCTCAAAAAAATCAATTAAAGTTCTCGTGACAATCTTAACCCAGTTCAGTTGCTTGTATGTAGTCATGATAAGGCCTTTCATTATAGAATCACATGACACTGTGCACTGTGTCACACTGTTAGCAAATACGCAATTCTCTAATTCTGTATCAGTAACTTTTGTGTGTGTGCTGTCAGTACTTAGGCATGCAATGATTCCCTGTCATAGAGGATGCCATTAGCTTTGCCTGAAGCCCCAACTGTAAACTCTGAAACAGGGCACCAAAGCATAAACATCATATGTCATGAAGGGTCCTTTAAATAAATAAATAAGAGTTCTTGCTTGTAAACTAAGCCAGCTGTAAGTTTTATCTCTTTGAAGGATTGATGAAAGCATCCCATGAGCTTGCGGAAGTCTGGTTTGCATCAGGAAGGGCTCACTGAGTTTCATTTGTTCTCAGCAGAATTGGGATATGTAGGATAAATGTAGCATGTTTTCAGGTCCTCACCCTACCTGGAAAAGAACTGACCTTTAGTTCAGATCTAATAGGAGCAGCCAGTCGACAGAGCTACTATTAACTTTCAGTGCAGAACTGACAGACACCAGGCATAGGAGGGACCAGACTTGTAAATGTAAACTTCATTTCCTAGCAGGAGTTTTTGTTTGGACGTGAGAAGCCAAGCCCTTCATTCCCAAACCTTTAGTCAAAAACCAAGCAGTCCATTAGTAACAGAAGCAAAAAACATCTAATGCAGATCAGTTTCAGATGCATTTAAAATCGTATCTTCATTTAGGACATGATTGCTTGGGAAAGTCTCTTGTGAACTCCCACAGATGTTTTCAAAATAATTCATTTAAATATTGTTATGAGAGTGACATGAGTCGAGGGTTCAGAGTTGCATAGGAAAGCCATAAGAGTAAAAAGCAATGGCTTACTGATTTGCAAGTAAATGCCCAAACATCCCCTTAAAACCACTGTTTACTTCAATCCTTTGAAATGCTATGCTGGATCAAAGGTTAGTTCAAAGGGTATCATTACTGTTAAGAAAAAAGTCCAACAGCTGCTTGTCTTCAGGTAGAACTTGAATGGTTTCTCTCATTCCAAAAGAGTTAATTGTGTGCACCCATTTCATCAGGTTCTGGCAATTTAAGTCCATCAAGCTGTTTGGCAGCTTTGACTCAAGAGTCAGAATACTTTCCATCTCGGTTTGTATAAGCTGTTAGAACCTGGAGTTTCCTTCTGGCATGTACAGTTTGACACAGAAGGTCTCATTACACGGGCTCAAATTTAAAATGATTTCCTATTGAGGAAGGATGGTGCTTAGATTAAAAAAAAATTGCTCATTAAATGTGCCCTGTTTATAGATTGTGCTATTTATTGATTCATCATAGTCTTAGGAAGCTGGAATGTATGACTTCAAACTTTTAATGTGTGATCCTTAATGAAAGCCTTCAGCAGGACCACATGCAGCAACTCTGAAACTCGGGGGTTAATTACTATTTCTACTTCTTGTTGTTAATTTCAGCTCAATACCAGGGGGGAGAGACACCACCATCAAGCTGTCACTCACAAAACTCAGGAATGGTGCGATCGAGTCAGAGCCTCAGAAACCTACATTCCCACTGATGGGCAGAGGATTTAGCATTAATGTGAGTTATTTGATAAACCAATGAGAGAACAGATACCTCCATCCTGAGAAATTGTAACTATATTCTGCTGCTGTCATATTCTGTTGTCTCAATAGCTGGGAAGTTCAGGTGAGACTCAAATTCTAACCCACCCTGTTGTGTTTAAGGTAGGAATAGCTGTGCACATAGGATCTGATCTAAAGCCCACTGAAATCAGTGGGAGTCATTTCACTGACATCACTAGGGTCTATAGCATATGAGGTCAGCTACTGTTTAAAGGGAAAGCAACAGAGCAAAACTGAGGAGTTCATTAAAATATGGTCTCTTATTATATACTATGATTTTTTTGTTTTTATGTTTACAAGTCTGATCCTTAACATCAACGAAGGTGCACAAGTGGGCTTGGGAAAACTCCATATTTGTTTGCAAAGTGTCCAATTTCCATTTTGGGTTACTGAGCATATGCAGTTCTAAGCCAGGCTAACACAGTGTGAGTTTGTCCTCCTTTAGTTGCTAGAGACCATGCACAAAAGTTAGTCCACCACTTGCCTCAAGTTAATGGACCTGGGCCTTTAGCTCAACCAGCACACGCTTGTGTTTTTAGATGTGGAGGGTCCTAGGTTCAGTCCCAATGTACAGCCCCTTTGAGGTATTTTTATATTGTAAGTCCTGATAGTGAGCACAATCACCTAGTTTACCTGTGTAAATGTAGATCTTTTGAGGCACAAGGGTTGCACGTGAGTTTTTGCCAGCAAGTCATCTTGTTGAAGGAATTTAGCCTTCAATGTAAATCATATTTTTCTGGTGATATTTTAAAAAGCAATATGAAAAAGTAAATTAAAATCTCAGTGGGCATGGGATGTACTAACTGAAAAGCCAAGATTTTTAGTACCTTGAATTTTTGTTGACATAGTGCTCACTCTCCTATTACTGCTAGATTTCAGCCTGAACATGATATCTACAGAACCATTAGAAATCCATGAGAGTGGGGGGAAAAAGCAGAGACACTGTTTAGTATCTGAAATGATGGTGCTACTGTACCTCCCTCTCTCATTCACACACAGGCTGTTGTGTATCATTGCTGATCCTTGCAATATGGCGAAAAAAGCTTCTTCATTTCAGCTATTTCTAATTTCCATGAGGATATATCATCATTTGACTCAAATTTTCCACACTTTCTCCCTTCACCTATTAACCTTTTCCAGAAGAAAATTAAAGAAACTTTGTCACAATCAACAGGCACCAAATTTAATACCTAAATACCTTTGAAAATCTGACCCTTTGTGCTTTTGGTTCATTTTATCCCAATACGGTGAAAGCAAAACTCAAAATGAAATGCTGATTTTGTTCCACTTGTGCACTGCATGTGGTTTTCCAAGGGTTTGTCATCCCAGAAGACCTATAATGTGACCAAATGTCACTAGCTGCATTATACAAACCAACAAAACTGCAAATATCAAAAGTGTTCCACTTATTCACCAATACATGCTTATTCACTTTGGCTGAATTTCATACAAAACGTCTTTTGCTGATATTTAGTTTGGTTTCCATGTTCAACTAATCTGGTTTGCATGGCTTCACAGCACTAGTTAAAATCTCAGTCAAGGGACTCCAAACAGGGAACCGGATCATGGATATGTTTGTAAACTGATCAGCTTTTTTCATTCTGCTGCCTCAAAAGAATGAAGCAGGCAGGCAATGACTGAAGTTAGCTGCATTTCTATTCTGTGACACCATGCCTCAATCTCATCCACCTCCAAGGGACATTGTGAGGCTTAAATAACATTTATAAAATGCTTGATGACCCTCAGATGGAAGATGACAAAGAAAAATAATTAATTCCATTCTCCTAATGGAGCTAAGAAGGGACTGCAGAGGAACACACAATGTGCAAACCCAAATCGTATGTGTGTGTGTGTGTGTGGTCGGGCCAGTATGACGACAAATCCAGTTAGGGCTTTTTTAATAGATTTATTGGTGATGGCTGCCTGGCTGAGGGGTGGGCGTTTAGCACAGCTGTTGTCCTTGTTTCAGAGAGTGGCAAAGTTTTATACTATCAAGAAGATGCTTTAACACAAACAAGTGGGGGAAGGGTAATGTTTTGAGATTGCCTATTCTGGCAATGCCCCTCAGACAGCAATTTGTTCTCTGTCAAGAAAAAAAACTACCCCTCTCCTAAAATGAAATTGAAGACTTAATGAAACAAACCAAAAAGGAAAATCCTACAGAGGATATAAATCCAACAAAGGAAAAATCTGCTGCTGTCCAGTCAATATTTTCAACTATGCTGCTCAGAGTGATTTGGTTCCACCTTTGCTTTCAGATAGCTTGTATCAGTCTGAAGTCATTTATCAGATTCTAATTTCCAACATCACATATATACAAATCTATAACATTAGTCAAAGCTGTGGAAGAACTAAGGGTTCCCTCTACATTTATAAAACCAGAAATACCATACCAATGGGATGCAGGTACTGTATTTAAGTTGTATACAGAGACAGTACATGCTGCTGTGTATGGGCTTCTGTTGCCACTTTTTCCTTCCATTCCAACCTCCACACTAACATAAAATGACAGGAGTGCATTAGCTTTAACAAACAGCTAAACAATATGGTGAAAAGTTTGCAGAGAAATCCCAAATGATGTGAAGCTCACCTTGGACCAGTTTTAGTTATTAACTTGAAATGCAAACAGTTTTACTGAAAGATCAAACTGAAGTTTTTAAGCAGTTTGAGGCAGGGACAGTTTCTACAGTAACTAGTTCAAGGGGGACCACATTTTGGTTGGGGCCTTTTGTTCCTGCCATAATAAGAACAATACAATATCTTTACCATTTAAGTAGAGATGGCTCCACACCCAAACCTCCCCAGACGTTTGGGTCTTTAAAAATCCACATCTGAATTTGGTAGCATAAACACATCTCTACTTTTAAGCCACCAGGGGCTAGTTTTGAGTGAACTTTAGGTGATTAATGGTGTCATATTAAAACTGTGTGAAACTTGCAGTTTAATATGATTTTAACAATGATTGAAAACCAGACAGAATTTGGTGGTTTCAACCATGTTTCACTTTAAATGAAAATGAACATAAATCTTGGGGTATACACCTATGTAGATGGGGGGAAAATCTGCACAAGATTCTATAAAGAAAAATTTTGCTCACCTATAAAATGTCACCCATTACTTAATGTATCAGTAAGTATTTTTTGGGGGGGAGGGAGAGAGATTAGGCTGCTAATACCCTTCCTAGATGTATTGCTTCAAACACCATTGTATCTAAGAAGAGTGATTTTTAACAGATTTCACAGAATTCTGCCTTTAAAGTTAATTTTGCCAATGCAATATCTGATTATCTCTAGAACTGTGATTTAATGGCACAGAGCAGTGACTTTGACAATATTTTGGTCCCTTTTAAGCCCTGCAGTCTGGGGCATTTTTAGTGCATTATTTTAGGGAACATTACAGCAGTAGACAGAACAGATGTTAGTAATTTGTGAGTGAATAGACAGGCTATTTCCTCTGTTTACAGTATAATAAATTCAGACTGTGACCATATACATGGGTTTAAAAAGACCCAAAGGCTTCCCATAGGATTTAGGAAAGAAACCACATTTAAAGCTTCAGGGCTGTCCATATTCCCATGGCCGAGTCTAAGGCTTTGTCTACACTAACCCCCCAAATCGAACTAAGGTACGCAACTTCAGCTACGTGAATAACGTAGCTGAAGTTCGAAGTACCTTAGTTCGATCTTACCTCGGTCCACACGCGGCAGGCAGGCTCCCCCGTCGACTCCGCGGTACTCCTCTCGTCTAGCTGGAGTACCGCAGTCGACGGCGAGCACTTTCGGGTTCGACTTATCGCGTCCAGACAAGACGCGATAAGTCGAACCCAGAACTTCGATTGCCAGCCGCCGAACTAGCGGCTGGGTATAGACGTACCCTCAGTAGTGAAACAGTTTTGATAGCTGTAAAGTCTTTTTCTGAACAAGACAGGATTACTTGACAAGTTTGTCATCTCCTATCTGACAAAGTGGAATTTGAAATGTTGTGATGCTGAAGCAGCAATCATGATCCTTTACTTTTGATGGGATCATAACTTTACTGTACTGTAGGAGAAAACACTAGATGCTAATTCATAACATGTTTATGTGATTGCCAGCTTCAGAGAATTTCACTTTTTACTGTTTTTTTTAAAGACTCTGCATTAAGTCTCTTCAAGCCTTAAAGATCTTTTTTAATATGCCTAGAATCTGATCGGGCTGATTCTTGTAGCTGTTCCTTCACTGGAACCAACTGGATTGCCTTACTTCATTATGACTAATGGGTCTAATTTGGAGAGAGGCTGATTGCACTCAATTCTCTCTAAAGTCAGTGGGCTGCAACAGTGTCAGTGGGAACTGAGGGCGCTAAGTTAGCATGTCTCAAGATCATGCCTAGTATTTCTAAGAGACATAGCATCTCTATGTGAGTGGTCTTGAAATCAAATCAGCACCATTTCTATGCAACAAATCTGACTCTTGTTCATACTATACATTTGATTAAATCCAGAAAAGCAAAATAAAAACCCTGAGGCTTTGTGCAAAATTCCTTTATAAAATTTAAATTGCCACCTTGCAATAAACTCATCTACTAAAGAATGTCAGGGTAAGTATTGTGAGTGAAGGCTCTGGAATCCAAAATAATTATGTACTTTAGCATTTAAAGTCAGCAAGCTGTACTTAAATGCTCTTTCTTTTTTCTGGGGGCTTAAAGCTGTCCTTAAAACTTGGTTTTAGTCTAACAGGTAGAATCTGCAAATGCACTTGCACTTGAATGCCCTAGTTGGGCAGTTGGTTTATGACACTTGGTTTATGACCTTCTGAATTTTACTTCTATTTAGTATTTTTACTTATTTTCCAGCACCAAAAGCACTGGAGAGATGCTTTATGGATTTTCATTTTAGTTCTTTTCATTTATAAAGGATCTACAGATCTCTGGCGATATGTGGATGGTTGTCTGGGATCACAACTTATTCCTCTATAGT